GTGTGGACATGTTTTTAAAACACAGTCCTAATTATTTTCCACACTCTAGGGCAACAGCAGAGCTAAAAGGCACATGCTATACAGACTGCCCCCTTGCCGACAGCTATTGGACGTGCAATAATTTAAATGTAGAAGTCAAGAAGAGAAAAGCTGTAGAGCGGAGCAGTTCTACACAGCCTCCCTCTGGCCACCACACCAGGGCAACTCCACTGTTTTTGGATAGCTCATGCACCAAAGAATTGCAGCCTGTGTACATGCAAAAAGGCAAGAGTAGAAACAGAAGAGTACTGAGAGACAACATAGATGAGCTTCATCTAAGCATGTGCAGATATCTGCGTCTAGGTTAGTCATTTAAAAACTCTTTACAGGGCAAGGCATGCATTTTTGGATGGGATTTATCTCATTCAAAGGATTTCTGAAGTAAGCCACAAGAATCCCTCACTTGAAGTAGCTATTTTTCTTTACTTGGCTCCTACAAAGGTGATCAGCTCTTATGTAGACCTCCTCGTCCCACAATGGTTGGAGTCTATGGCTTTGCAAAGCTCTGCAGAACTCTGGAAGTCTGTGAAATCCATCTTGCATTTTGGGATGTGATGTCTTCCAATGGAACTTCAATGATAAGGCCCGCAACTTGCGGTAATCTCTTTCATATAGTTATTACAGCTTCAAGAGATCTTCACCACAAGCTCATAAGACAGCTTGAATTTGGATCACGTGATGGACAGTATCTTCTGAAGCAAAAGGCCACATGATGGAGGCAACCATCTGTAGACCATTGTAGGAAGGACTGGGACATGATAAACCACATCATTAACTTTCTTTGTGAGAAACCTTGAGTGTCCTTGCTGGTGCACATCCCCAGGAGTAACTCAGCATCACCTGCTGCCACCCAAGCTGTGGCTCTGCACACCAGGCGCACAAGGCACCCAGAACGGGAGTCCTCAATGATGCTTTCCAAGTTTGGAAGATGAAGATGTAGTAGCAATACTGAAGCATGAGCCGGTTTTGTGAGTTTCACACTCAGAGTAGGAGAATTCACAGGTTTGTTGCTGGTCCAGGACCCATAAAAACAACTAGAACAACTAGAAATCTAAACTTTGTGTGTGGTTGTGTCAGTGAGGGACAGAAGCCAGGCTTGAGATGTGGTGCAGCCCCTGAGAGCCACAGTCACTGGACTTTTTGCCATACCAAAAGCATAGCCCTATTGAACAGATTTCCATTGTGCATTGCTTTCTCCATCAGCCCAGGAGAGGCAAGGCAAAGCTCGTGCTAGTAGGATGAAGTGTTAGCAGTGTAACTCCGGAGACAAACTCACGGCAGGGCTGACTCTTCAGATCCCCACATAAACAGAGCAGAAGGAGACAGAGCTCAGAGGAGGTTTGTCTAGTGGCCCTGTGACCGTGGCCCCAAATTCCGGACACTGCCTGCTAACGCACATACATTTAATGCAGGGGGGGAGTTTAAAACATTGTTAATCTAACAGCATGATATAAGCATGATTAAGTCCCATGAGACCCATGCAATTACACTAATAACAGCACAGAGAAATGAAAGAGTGATGCTCGCAGACTTTGCTTGCAACTGAAGCAAGTAAAACAAATGTACACAGTGTAAAGCGCAAATGTACAGCTACCACATATGTTTGTCTTGTGTTGACTTGGATATGCCTGTTGAAGTTTTGCTTGTTCCATATCTCTAAAAATGTCTTCCTGGGTTGTTACATTTCCATACAAACAAAAGGAGGTTAGCAAATGACTGCGTTCAACTTTCAGGAAATAACATTTACGAAATGCTACTATATGATGTCTGTGTATGTGTGCATAGTCCTATCTGTATTTCACCTGCATTAAATATATTTTTGTTGCTATGTTTAGCAATAAAATATACAAATCATATCCAGACAAAATCAAATACAACCTAATAGATTCAGAATGCTTTGCCATATTCAAAAGTATTTTAAAGTCTTCAAAATAAAAAGCAAAGAAGAAAATTATTTTCTGAGTTCAGTGTCCCTCTTCTCAACCACGTGCCAAGATTAACAAGTTAAAGGAATTAACATACCTTGGTGATCTCTGTTTTACACAGGCTGAATAAACATCTAAGACAGTTATTTCACATTCATGTGTGATAAACACTTGGGGAACATGCATTTGCCAACATCAAAGAAAGAACCAAGTTACACAGTTCTTGTTTGCAGCTTTCTGGCTGCGTATCTACACACCAGCAATGCCAGGAAACTCTGCTGCAGCCCAGCAGCCTTCCCTCTTTTCTCTCAACTGTTGCCACGTTCTGTGCACAAGTTACGAGCCATTGATCCAAACCAAGCATTTTGCCCAGCATTCACACACAGGAGTTGCCTCATGTCTGTGTCTGCATGTGGTCTTGCAATACTCCTTAGGAAATGTCCTCTATCCATTGGGCAACTCTATGTGAGATATTAAAGCACCGATATTCTTCCAAGCAAAGAGTTTGATTGTGAGTGTTGTTACTGAGTCCAGCTGCTTCAGCTCCTTGGTATTCTTTTAAGTGGCTCAGGGAAATTCTGTGTTTTCTTTTCAGCTACCTGTACAACTTCGCTTAGGAGAAATGCAGGAAAGATCATTAACAGAATTCACATCATTAACATTAAGAATATTTGTCTCTCCCGCAGGTGACTTTCACACAGAACAGTGACAAGGTATCTGCTTCAGCAATAACCATTTCACAGCAGAACTCTCCAAATTCGATCTGGGGATAAGATGATAATCCCAAGTACGTGTGCTATAGATGAATCTATGGGCCCTGTGGTGTTGGGACAGTCTATTGAGTTCTACCTTCCACACTAATGAAGTAAAAGCTTGAAAAGTGGTACACTGGGCTGTGGAAGGAACTGTTCAAATGTTTCATAGCAATCAGAGGTACCACATATTTCATTACCATGTGCAGTGACTGTATTGCTGCTGCAAAGCTTGAATGACAAGACAAAAGGTGGGAAAAGATTGTGTCACCCCTTGGATATTCTCAAAGAGCAGGCTGAGAACTCTGAGAACTTTCAAAATGTAAAGTTGTATGTCCTTGGCATACAGGAAGGGGAGAAGTTTGGGGAAAGGAGAAGATGACAACAAAGAACAGACTGTAAATGGTCTAATTTTGGAAGGTTTCTGAGGATTATATCTGCAATAATTTACTTGCCAGATTTGCAGACTTAATACTCAGCTACGTTTTGCAATTCCTTATCTTTATTACTCTCAAGAATTTCTTCATCCTGTGTGCCTTGTCCTATAAGGATGTCACCAATCTGAAGTACGTGTTTTTGTTTTTGTTCTGTTTTTTTTTTTTTTTTAGTCTGCTTTAAATAGTGTCAGTATTTTATGTGCTTCTTCATCTCCCTATTATTTTTTCTTCAGGATCTTTTTTTTCCCCTCAAACTACTTCCCCAATATCTCCTCCTGAATGAAAGGTCACAGGGAGGACAGTAAAGAGACCAGCAAACTTCCTAGAACGGGATTGCAGGGTTCTCTTAGAGACGCACACTGTGAGCAAGCACTAGGCCTGAAAAAAGCTAAATGGCAATTCTCTACCCTGGATATTTACTTGTTGAATGTAAACAAGTTCTAAAAAAAAAAAAAAAAAGACACAGGTCTTCCTGTGTCGCAGGTTTTAATGGCATAGATTAATTAAACATCGTGTATACCTTATAGTGAAAACTGGACAAAACTGGATGAATTGTGACGGAAATGTGGCAGGGTTTCATGATGAAGACCATTGCTGGTAGATTGCTAGGTGATGAATTTGGAAGATATCAATAGATACGACAAGAGTTGGAGAAAGATGGAGGTGAACTTCATGAAAAAGAAATGTGAGATTTGCTTATAGCCTCAAGAACATTAAGTACATGAAACCTCTGTTTCAGGAAGTGCTTGAGTTTTGGATCATTGGAGGCCAGGACTAAACCAGGGAAGGATGATCCTTTGCTTTTCTCTTTCACTTAGTCTTTTTTATATTTTCCCTAAGGCCACTACTGTAGAGAAGTTATGGATCTATATGGACTTCTGGTCAGCGGGGTAAGGAACTGTGTTTAGACTGGATTTAATTTCTGCTTCTCTGCTGGTGCTCACAGGCACTGAGTAAATTTTCTTTTCTACAGCTACCTAATATTTATGTTTTTCTCATTCTCTCCTTGTCCATTTCCCTTCCCTGGAGTCTGGCTCTGAAGGTTAGGGACTCTTCCATCTTTGACCAAAGTCAGAAAGCAAAAAGCACACTACAGTTCTCAGATTCTAAGGTTTGCATAAGCAAAAAGTGACACAAGTGCTCCACAAAGCATCATTCTGTCCTTCCCGAATAGTTTTCAGCCCTTTACACTTCTTCCTAGTCCAGGAGCTTGTTCTACCTTTCCGCATAGGTGCTGCAAAACTCGCCAGTCAAGTGAGTGCTCAGAAGAATCCATGAGACTGATGGAGTCTCATTGTCTGATTGACTCATGGTGAGTACTGAGCACATTTTGAGTCATAAATAAAATGTTTTGAGTAGTTACTCATTCAGCTTGCCCTACTCAGTGAGGCAAAAGACAGTGAGGAAATTTCAGCAGCCACAAAGAAATAATTGGCTAAAAATGAAGAAACAAAACAAAACAAAAAAACAAACCAAAACAAAACAAAATAAAATATTTCTGTTTACTCAAGTAGTCAGATTCATTTTTGGACAAGTAGATTAAAGGGCTGCAGAGGTGCCTGTCTGGTTTGACATGCTCCTGGGTGGGCTTGCCCAGCACAAAAAGGCAGCTCTTTGGACACCATGGCACATAATGTGTCACTTCTGGCCTGGGTAACTTATAGCCACCCACAAAGTGTGACCCCTTGTCCACTCTCAGGAACTGGTGAGCTCCCTCCAGCCCAGCTCTGAAATGAAAGCCACCCCTCCATGACCTAGCAGAGAGCAATGGTGCATGCCACCCCCTACCCCAAATTCTGCACCTCACAGGGCCACCCATTCCAGAAGACAAGGGTCAGTGCTTCAAAATGCCTCTGGTCCTCTCTACAGCTAGAGTCCACATCGCTGTCCCCAGGCAGTGGGGCCCAGCACCCTCTCCCTCCTTATCCATCTCCACGACGGCCACCCGCTCCCGCGGAGGCCCCGCGCCTCCCCACCCGCCTTTCCCTCCTTCCCTCCGCGAATCGGGAGCACCCCGGGAAGCGGCGGGCACGGATCCGCGGTGCGCGGAGGAGCGCGGAGCCGGGGCTGCCCAGGCAAACCACGTCTTCCCGCCGCCTCCCGGCACTGCTTTCGTTAGGCAACCATCGCTCCGAGGTGACAAACACGCGAAGCGCCCTAACCCGGGGGGAAGTAAATATATATACATATATATATATATATAGTTGGTGAGGGGCAAAGAGGGGTGAGTTTAAAGCACAGGGTCTGTGCTAGCTTCAAGCTCTCATAAAAACCGGCCCCAAGGATGCTATTTTGCTGCGGTCTGGGTTATTTCAGCCCACAGTTGCACAACAAACCATTTAAACATTTCAGCACAAAACAGATTCTATTGTTGGGCTGCACATTAAAAAGTGTTATTCGCTTTGAAGTTTTTGTCTAATGGTTCTAAACTGAAAGAAAATGTTTTCCTATTACTTAATTCAATCATAGCGAAGAGGCTTGGTAAAAAGCCCACGGATTTTGCCCAAAGTGTGACAGAGTTCTCTTTGTGTTTGCTTATCCTCTGCTGTCACACACTTTAATTCGCCTCTCTTTATCTGGCATTCAAAACTTTCTTCAATGACATTAAATAAGGTCCAGCGGCTGAAAAAAAAAATGGTTATTTTTTTGGATATTCTTTCCCAGTAGCTTTGGGCTTGGTGTATTCAGGAGCTGTTAACCCTTTCCCTCCCTGCTGCTCGGAGCGCTGGGGTTCAGTCCCAGGCAGTGGGAACCGCTGAGGATGAGAGGGGAATCAACCCCCCTGGGCGCTCGGCGGGCAGAGTTCCCCCTTCCCCGGCGGGGAAACATGTTAAAACGTTAAATTACGAGCGCCTTAAAAACACCAACAAAAACACCCCCCTCCCCTCTAAATAACGCTTTTAGGGGAAGAACATCTGGAAACTCCTTCTAAACAATCGCGGAATTAGGTTTTTGCTAGCTTTCGTTGTTGTCCTTTCGTTCATTTTTCCCCGTTTATTTGGAAATACACGGACATTTCTAGGCTCCGGCATAAGAGCATCTCGGCAAAACTCCTATAGATTCCAATGAGAAACGCGACCGTAAGGAAAAACAACCTCTTTACAAGCCAGAGGCACAGAATTACATTTTTTCTCGGTTTTTTTTTTCTTCCTATTATTCCCTTCTTTTGAAGAAATACATTTATTTTTGAGGCGAGCAGGTTCCCGTCAGGCGAAATCGCCTGTCGTTTTGACGGCAGTGCTGTCCGTCGGCGAGTACGCTTGTCTTTTCCCTGGTTATTAACAGGAAAATCGGGGAAGAAAACGCACTCCAATGAACATTTTTTTTTTATTCGTTCCTTATTCACCTACAAAGTCACCGTGCTCCGGAGAGCCGGCGTGTCCCACGCAGGGCCAGTCCGCGCGGTCGCTTGGAGGGACAAGCAGCGCCTCGGGTAGACCCAGCGCTAAGTAGTGCCGAGTCCCAACGCTAAAACGCGCAGAGCGCCTGTTTGCCCCTGTTAATTCTCATGGCACGAGGGGAACGAGCCCGTTATTTCCCCGCAGCGCCTTTCCCGAGGCCCCAAGACGAGGCAGGTTGCGTGACTGCAGGTATCGCAGCCGGGGATGCGCAGGAAGAGACCGGAGCGGTCCCGGGATGCGGAGCGACGCTAACCCGCTCCGGGGCTGCATCGACACCGCGGGACC